TTTAAAAAGTAGATTGGTGAAAGGGGTATTCATTCTATGATGGATGGAGTTAAACTTTCCTTGAAGACTCAGGTTTTCAGTTGGAGAGCATTCCTGGATCCTAGATTTTAATTTGTATATTTACTCACATTAGGCTACATTGTAAATCATGTCAATTCCTGGAAAAGTCTCATCTGGAGGATACATGGGCCTTAGGACCCTTCCACACAGCCATATAACCCGGAATATCAAGGCAGAAAGTCCCATAATATTTGCTTTGACTGGGGTACCAGTCCAAAATAATGTGACCAAATTGTTGACTCAGCACAGTTACAGGGAGCATGTAAATTCATTTTTATGTTCTCCCTGTTTCAGGATACCGTGTAAAATACTGGTTATATATCTTGGGTACGGGCTTTCTGAGGGAACACATTTTCTCATATAAGCCTGTTCAAGCTTTGAAATCTTCACTGCAAGTCTGGTTCTAAAGATTAGACAGACTGTAAATACACAAGTGTAAGTGTGCAAAAACAAGCAAAATTGCAGGGCTCCCTCTCAAGGGAGTGAAGGAAGAAGTCTCAGGGCATCAGTGGATGTTTCAGGGAATTGTATTGCTTCTTCAGGTATGTGTGTATGGTAGCTGAAGGGGGCGGGGTTGCAAATCTCAGGGCAGGTGGCACTGCAGGAGGGAAAACCATTATGTGTGTGTGTGTGGTGGCTTTAAAGCACCTATCTTCAGAGAAAGTAGGGCTCTATGGCTAAAAGAAAACATTTATATGTATTTTGTGTTTGGTATAGTTCCAGTGTGTAATAAAAAGTTAGGGGCATGGGAAATGAACTGAAGGCCCCTTCTTCCATTTTTTTGCAAGGTGGGACTAAAGTGGTAGTGTTGTAATTCACATACTTTCTTGATGCACCATTGCTGGCCACAACAATATAAAGCCGGATAGGGCAGTAGTGGTAGTGAGTTTTTTTCATAAGCTGCAGAATCAGTGTAGAGAGACAAGAAAAACTCCCCATGCCATGCACATGGTGGAAAGGCTGCACATGCAGAAATGGTGGCAAATAGCTCCATCTACTAGGCATACTCTACCACCAACGACTGAAAGATGCTTTGCCATTTTTTCACTGTTTTTGACTTGCCATATTACCTGATTGCCTAGATTTTAACCAAAGTTTCAGCCCTATTGCTCAGATTGTTGCACTCCAGGCCAGGAAAAATCTCTGGGCTTAACCACCACACCCCAGTCCAAGTTAAATCAGCAAAGCAGTTTATTAAAGAAATATAAAAAGCACTGTGGCAAAAATAGTAAAAAAAAAAAACCTTCAAAGTCTATACGTATAAAAAGGACACAAGGTCCAAGGTGCAAGAGTAATCCAAAATCCCAAAGCAAAAGGACATCCAGAACAGGAATGCAAGAAAACCAGGGGGTACAAGGCTGCATAGAATCCAATACAAAAATCCAGGAACAGTCCTTCAAACTTGGAAGCATGAAACAGGAGCAAAAACATGGAACTAGAATTCCCTCAGAAAGCTTGACTAGGAATTGGCAAGAGTTATTGCCTCAATTACCAATGTTGGCCAGACTGGCTGGAAAATCCCCCTACCCTCTCTAATGTACAAATGAAATCATGCCTCCTCCCATGACTTCCTGATACAGGTCTCTTCTCTAACAAGCGCTGTGACCTTTGGAAATTCTGTTGAGTAGCACGAAGTTTACGAAAATGGAGTCTCGTATCAACCAGTTCATAATTTGAAACTAATTATTCTCTCCACCTGGGATTTCAGCCTCTGAATTAGTTTCCCTAGAGAACGACTCTTCTGCACCATCTCAGCGCCTCTCTGGAATGTGACTTTCACTGACTGCTGGAGACACAAACTGATCATTTTCAGAACTTGAAATCTCATGTTGGCTCACAGGCTCACAGTTCTCATGATCCATTTCCCCATTTACATCGATATCAGACACAACCATGGGCTGAACTACAACACCAACTCCATTTGTCCCTAATAGCTGCCCTAAAGCAGTTCTTAACCCCTGATAGCTCTGTGATATCACAAATGCCCAGCTATACGATTGGGATTGCCCTTGTGACATCACAAGGACCTGCAACCTGGCTTCAGTTTTTGGTTTTGGCCCTGAAGTCCAAGGGAATGAGGTGCTGCTGACCTGGTAACACTGTTATGAGTTTGCCATAGAGCAAAGACTTCTTATTCAACTGAACCCTAGGGCATATGTTTGGGTTGGGTTGTGCTTATAAATTTTTAATCAAGTTGAAGACAGCCATTTGTTTTGATTTTGTTTTAAATGAATTGTTATATCTGTTTTCTTTCACTTAACGTGTCTTATATTTTTTTAACTGGTGCAGTCATTTTTTATTTTATTCTTAGCTCCTTGTAGTCCCATGTGTAGGAAGGTAGATGGGATGTGTATCTAATCTAATAAATAAGTGAGTAAACCAGCATAGAGTATACTGTTTCATAAGTCAACCTCATGCATATGTTGAGGGCAGATTTTGGGATCAAATTTATGGCTCCTTATATGACCCACGGATAAGTCAAGGGTCATTCTATGGAGGCAGAAAAAGTACCAGCATTGCCTCTGGGAGCACCCACCCCTGATCGCCACTGCTAATCCCCACCCAGTCATTCAAAGCAGCCAAAAGTGGCACCATGGAGGAAAAACTTGAGATCAGTGCTTGTTTTAGGCTCTCCCAGGACAGCCTGAGCAGTTGCTTTTCACCATTCTAATCAGAAAATAGGATGATTCTTTTTTGATAGAGTTAAGATAGAGTTCTTACATTGACCATGAATATGTTGAACCAGGTTTTTGTGGCTGATTTTTTTTACTAAAATCTGGAGACTTATACATATGCAGTAAATATTTCTAATCACTGCCAATCTGATCATTGCAGGAGGATAATCCAGAGTCTAAATCTGAAAACATCTGAATACAAAGCATGTACATTTCTTCAATACGTTTTTGCAAATGTCACACTGTGACATTATCATTTTTGATGTCTAATTCACCCCCCCCCCCCCCATCAGATCTGGCAACAGAAACAATGGACAAATACAAGATTTTTTAAAGGAGAATTAAGATGGAGGACCTTGCAGTACCAGAGCCTGAACTAATTGCTTTGATAACAGGAAGAGAGTGTCTCTGGCCACAGCTACTGAGAGACAGAACAAGGCAGGTGGCAAGAGTTAAAGCGAAAGGGAGCAACAGATGTTATCTCCCAAATTTGGAACACTTCTCAATTCTACTCAGAATACCCCAATTTCCATCAGTATATTGTACAGATAATTAATCTAAACCATCCAAGTCTTGGAGGGTAAGAGGAGGGGGAAGAAAAATAATTTGTTGAGCACATGTCTGTAATAGCCAGCTGTTTATAATAATCTGACTAGTGCAAAAATAATTTTCCCACTTTTAACAGTCTATTAAATTCCATTTCTCAGTCACTTTTATTTGCATTTTAGGGGCAAAATAATTGGATTCTGTGACCACTGGATGGAGACGAAGGTCTAATAGCTGTTCTGGACCTTCTGAAAGGAAGGGAACAAACTGAGCCAGGGCAACCATTGCAAAAAAGAAGTGAGGAATATTTGCAGTGTGACAAACTGAAGAGTCACATACCATTTCCCCTCATTAAAGAATAATGATGTTGCTAAATGTCAAGCTACATGTTGAGTTAATAATATTTAAAAACAACAACTGTGTTAAAATTGGCAGGATATTTTCCAAGCTAGAACATTGTTGTAGAATGTGAAATCCATCTGGATTATCCTTTTGGCCATTTGATGAACTATGTTAGCATAGGGCCATGCTGTAGAACCTAGAGATTCTCTAAGATGACACATTTATCAAATCTATGAATAATCAAATCAGCACAAGTTAAACCACTTATTTGGGGAGGTGACAGTGTATGGTCTTCTGCCTTCCTCTAGTACATACATATTAATTGCAATATATAATAAAAAAAACTAAATTATCTTTCTTTATTCTCCATAGTATTGAATACTACGTATCATACAACTCTACACTAACAGCTACTGTAACTCCCAGTCAATACTAAATTACTGATTATTGTTCAGGCTCCTTTTCTGCCCTTCCTTTTGTTGAGTGAATGCTCTTTTACACTCAGCCTTCTCATGTCACACTATTCTCCACTATTTGTCCATGTTCTTTCTTCTCTCAGTCTGTCGCATTTTATACCCCCCCCTCCATACACACAAACAAACAAATAAACATTTTTTGGTCAGTCTTCCTGGAACATCTCATATGCAATTGTTCTGCAAATGTGTTGAATCAGCACATAAACAGAAGAGTGTATTAGCCCAGGGCCCTTCCACATAGCCCTATATCCCAGAATATCATGGTAGAAAATCCCACGATATCTGTTTTGAACTGGGTTATCTGCGTCCACACTCAGATAATGTGGGATTTTCTGCATTGATATTCTGGGATATAAGGCTATCTGGAAGGGCCCCCAATTTCACTGTTCTCTGATACCTGGGTGAGCCTACATCCCTTTTTACATGTTGTTGTTGCTGTAGTTGTTTATTTATTTGCCACTTTTTTGCTCTTAAAAAGGCTCAGTGATAATTTCTATTTGATATTGATTCAAATATTACAGTGTTTTGGGAGTGGTCTAACTCAAGGCCTTCCCTAGCTTAAATCCACTGATCAAATGAATAGTCATGTCATGAAAAGCATTTTTTTTAAAAAAAGAGAGAGTCTATATTAGTCTACATCAGGCTGATACTGGAGCGGATACTTCAGGTCTTAGACATGTATTTTTTGAGCTGGATAAGATGCAAATCCCAAAGTCTATGGCCTCCAATGGCCAGCTTTCTTGTTGTGGTTCCTAAATGTCACTCCCTGCCAACATTGCTTTCAACTGCCATGTCTGTTTTATTATGCACTGCATGTCCTTTGAACTAAACTCCACATTTGCATAAATCATTACTTAAACAATTAAGAACAACAACCTAGGAATAACTAATGGATGCTTACCTTTTTGACTTCATATTTAATGGCCAGCTTGATTCTGCTTAGACTTGGGCGATGGTTTTCTGACCATGATTGTACAGTCACGTCTCCATTCAGAATAGCCTCCACTTCTTCTGTGTCCCTGCAGAGATCCAGCACACCCACCACAAAATCCTTGCATTGCATAGATAACTTCCTATAATCATTCTAATGAAACAGAAAAAAACAAATGTTTTAACATTGCAGAATGAAACCTGGTTGAAAAAAAAACTACCTTAAAACTTGACCAAGATACAGCTATGTGTAGTCAGTCACATTATACTGTATTGTGACCCAGGAGAGATGAATACTGCTCCGTGGTACAAAACTAGCACCAATGTTTGGATCATTTCAGTGCCTAGTCAAAACTTGGCTTTTTAATTAAAGGCTTTTGCTATCCAATTCTATCCAGGCAACATATGTTCTATGCTATATCAACTACTTAGTTGAGTATACTTAACAAATTAACTTCTCAATGACTAACCCTCCCACCCCCTTGCCACCACTAAACATTATGGAAATGGCATTCACCAGTCACCACCAGCAGAATGAATTTCTTTCTCTTCATACAGCTCTACAAAGTGTGAGTGGGTTGGGGGGGAATTGGGATTATGGCAATAATGTCATCATTGTAATTATGTGTTCTATCACAACATACCATTATAGTGTGTTTATTCCACTATAACTGTCATAGCAACATTATGTGGAATCATGAGGTTTGTAGTTTAATGACACCCAAGAGCACCCTGGCTGAGAACTCTAAATGTCCTTCAAACCCCAGGATGCAACCATTGCAATAAAACTGAACTCATAGTGCTATATTTGTGTAGTATGAGAGAACCCCTGGTTTGATAATTGCATGTACTAGATAAGTGAACACTTCTCAAGTAAGACATGCTTGTACAAGAATATAAAAGCAGTTGGGAAAGAATCTGGATTTCCTTCACACTTTCACATCAAGACTGTAGTTAGAAATGGGGCAACGTTTGTTTGATTTACATTTGATTCTCACTTCATAATATGAGAACCAGAATGCTCCTGTTTCTCCTCTTCAGCTTTCTTTATTTTACTATGAAAAATCATCAAATTGTTCAACAAAATCAAGAATGTGAATTAAAATGTGCACATTAAAGAAAATTCTTCACAAAAAGGCAGATATTAGGGTAAATGTGCTTGCAAAAAGTCCACACATTGCATATAAATTGTTTATAGAGAGGCTCCAAATTTTCATGTGCACATAAATGCACAGTAAAAGGCATACAAATTTTTATCTCAACTAGGGATGCAATTTTTCCCTTGTTTCTTTTTTACATGAAAGGAGAAATAATTTGGAAAGTTTTTTCTTCACTACAGGAAAAATTGTTTTTTTCCTAGTATTTTTCTAGTATTTGGATGTCACAATATTTCTGAGAAATCTATCAATACAGAAATATAAATGATTTTTCTGAGTTAATGTTTTTGCGTGTTTTTGCATGTGTTTTTCTATACAAAAAAAGTTATGTGGAAAACCCATGAAGATTTCTTCACAATGTGTGATTACTGTAAGAAAACCACTTAAAAATCATGCCACTGCATTATTCTTCCTGACAGGATTTCCTGAGCATTAAGAAACACTTTTTTGGTCAAGAAAAAAAAAATCTATTTTCTCCCCTATTTGTAGGAAGGAAGTTTTTTAAAGTTGATCCTAGATTAGCAGAGAATGGAGAAAACTGAATGGCTCAGTCCCTTGATAGCAGAGGATTTCCAGAGAGAAGTATGCGGTGCCATGTCTCATTTTATTGCTGCCCTAAACCATTAAAAACAGGAGGAATAGATGAAAGAAAAAGAGGAAGCAAAGAGTAATCGCATCAGCAAGTGAACTAATGATCTGACAAAATCTTTCCGGTTCATACTTCATAGCTCTGCTAAGGGTATGGATGAAGGGCAGCCACAATATCTCAGAGAAACAAAGCTCTGTGGACATGTTTAGTTTAGAGAAAACAAGGGAGACACCCTCCAAACCAGCATTTGGAGATTATCCTGCTCCTTGTACCTTTATCATCCCTACTCACCGTCTTTTTTTTTGTGCTGTAATTAAAGGAACAGCAGTGTGTGTGTGTGTGTGTGTGTGTGTGTGTGTGTGGGGATAGATGGGAAAGAAATACAATTGACCTGCAGAATTTGTGAATTTGGGATTCATTTATTTGATTATTTGTGGGTCCCTCTCCCCGCAGGCTCCAGAAGCATGCAAGGCAAAGGCATGTGCTCCACAACAGAGAAATTCCTTTTCCTCATACTGAAGCAGCTCAGTTGCGATGCCCCCTTTTAAAGAAGACAACCTTCGTAACATCCCAAACTCTGGTGCTCAATGAGATATTGGGAGGTAGAGGAGATAAAAATTACTACAACCATTATTTGCAAATATAGGATCTGCATGTGACTATGTGGAAGGGGAGCATCACACCAAATGAAGTTTCACATAGGGTTCTTATAGTTTTGCAGGTACAATTCAGTTTACAACAACATCCTTGTTCTCATGCTTCCCCCCCCCCCCCCTTTGTTTCATCCTGCACATGGCACCATTTGGTCAGATGCTTATAAAAACAGCCCAGGAAAGCACAATTCTTGATTACCATCATTCAATATATCAGATATACCATCTGGATGTTTTGAAGGTTCAATTTGGCCCAATCGATCAAAATCAAACTACATCAAAATGCCATTTTTAATTCCCATATCTAAGACTGCTGTCTCTAAGGCAGTGGTTCTCAACCTGTGGGTCCCCAGTGTTTTGGCCTACAACTCCCAGAAATCCCAGCCAGTTTACCAGCTGTTAGGATTTCTGGGAGTTGAAGGCCAAAACATCTGGGGACCCACACGTTGAGAACCACTGCTCTAGTTTTATTGACTGCTTGTGTGAATTCCTGGGTCGCATACACTTTTTTGCATCTCTAAGAAAAGGTAATGGTCTGTTTATTGCCTGCTTCTCTTCTTTCAACTGCTATTTGTCTTTGATCTCTGTGTGTTTCTTATGGCTAGATTCTTCTAACACTAAGACTAAGGCAGACTAAGGCGTCTGGAGAACCAGGGCAGGAGCAGTTAAGAGAAAGAACTGCTGCTGATATAAGAGGAAGCTGAGGCAAAGGAAGCTGAAGCTGCTAGCCCAGCTCAGAGTCTTTCCCTGTACTAAGTCTTGGCCAACTCCACAGGCCGTGGGTGGCCTGTGGAGTTGGCAGCATCCAGTGCTTCATTGCTTCTTCACTTCCATGAAAGCAACACAGTGCAGAGCTTCTAAGTGCAATGGGCAGGTGAGAGCATAAGCAGCCCAGCTAGTGAAGAGAAAGAAAAGAAAGAAACAAAACCCAGCCAGCCTGTGTAAGGCATCCAGAGTTGGTGGGCAAGGGAGATCATTGCCTCTCAGCTCAGGTGTAGCCCACCCACCCAATGAAGAGACAAAAACCAAATCTTGCCAAACTTTTTAAAAACTCTCGAAATCCTTGGTACTAAAAATATATAGTGTGATGTTTGGAAATATCACACACACACGATCATACAACCTGAGAAATCAGGTGTAGAAAAGTTGCCAGTGACACCCACTCCTCTCTTCTCTATGCCAGTTATTGACTAGTTGCATAGAGAAGCCTACTGATTTATCAATAAGGCTCTGGGGATAGTTTTAAAATGATAATTTTTTTTATTAAAGAACAAGATTGAGAAAAGGAAGAGAATTGAGGGACATCATTAAAAGTTTTTCTTTATTTCAATTGGATCATTTTTTTAAAAAAAGTGGGAAGGATGACAACAAATGGTATATGTTTTCAACATATTTTCAATCTCTTGGAATCATGTCTTTCAATATCAAACATATCATTATTGAGTCATAAATAGATGGAAAATTCTCCCTTACTCTATCATAATAATTGAACCAAGTGTTACCAGCTGAAATCTGTTGGTTAGCACTAGGTGCAGAAGAGTCAAAGGAAAGTATTTCTCCATGCAATGCTCATAATTTATGAAATTTGTCATCAGAAAAAAATGCCAGACAGCAACTCCCATCAGCTCTGGTCAGTGATGATGGAAGTTACACTATTATAACATTTAAAGAATATCACAGTTTCATAATAGATCTTCATTAATTAATCAATAGATCTTAATGGATCTTCATTGCTCAGTTTGTCCGGTGTTGTAACCATGTCACAAGGTCAGTGAAGAATAAAGATTGTCTGATTTATCCCTGCTTCTCTACTGACATCTTAAATCCATCTAAAATCATTTGGATAGAGCAATAGTACATAAGTGCAACGTTCTGGCTTGCAAAACAAAAGAATTGTTGCAAAACATTTATTTTATTTTGGCATAGCAGTCCTAGCACCCAGGCAAATCTGTAAGTAATTATCATAGAAAGCAGAGTGTGAAAATGCCGGTGGAGGTTAAGAAATGTCTATGTTTATAAAGTCACAAGATTCAAAATTATCATGCAGAACCACTTGTTTGCATCATTTGACTTGCAGCAATATACAGCAATCCAATGTCTCTGTCCTTATTATGCCCCTTACAGCAGTCTGCTTTACGAATATTATCAATGGTTTATTACATTTGATAGTATGTCTACAGGTAAAGTAAACCATGAAAGGGCATGAGATTGCACTTTTATGATACAGGAAAATGTCGAGGAACAAAATGTTATTACATGACCCATGATTAGCCTTAAGAAGCTGCATTGCATTCGTGCACTTAGCTTCCTAAATCACATTTGAAAATAAAATATTCAGCAACAGTGCATGAAAGGAATTGACATGGATGCTGTAAAATGATTCAATGTGTTTTTGTTGATCTTAATAAAAATAGAATGGAGAACACTCCAAATGAAGCATATCTGAACCATGAAAGTAAAAGCAGAACTTTGCAAAATTTCCATTGCTATTGAACATTCTGGTTCTGGGACTCTTATTTCCCAAAAGAACCCTTCCCACCTTTAAAGTATATACTTTCTCTGTGAGGTAGGTGCATGAGCTGTTTTGATTCTCATTTGTAAAGAGAAAAAGTAGGGTATAAATAAACATAATAGACATAACAACAACAACAACAACAACAACAACAACAACAACAACAACAGCCATGAAGGTGGGAGAAGCTATCATAACCTCCAACTGTCCAAATCTGGGAAATATGGCTTCAATTAATCCTCT